AATAACCAATTAAACTATAACTTGTGATTTGATAGTTCATAATGTCTTCTGGCACCTAACCTGTTAATTATCATGACTCCACTGAGAGGTGACTGGGAACTGAAGATGGTTTGAGTGTGCTACAGTAAAGCCTCAGATAACAAATGTTCGACCAACAACTTTTCATATTTAAAACCCTAGTTAATTTAGGGCTCAATTCAATTTACGTCCTTAGTTCATTTGTATTTACAACCAAAATATAATAAAAATAAAATAAAATAAAATAAAATTTTCATATAAATAATAACTAAATCCTGATATGTATTATAAAAAAAAAATAATGTAAAAAAAATTAAGAGCGCCTTGCGCAAAGAAGCTGCCTTGCTAATGAGTGGTAAACAACAGTCGGAGTGTGGCGGGCCTTTTGTTTTCACGTATCTTACAGCACGTATCTTACAGCATTTTTGCATCCCTATTCAGCATGAGCAAGAGAGTAAGTGATCATAGTGTTGTTTCAAAAGCTAATAGAAAGTGTATGAGCTGAGACGAGAAACTAGATGTGTTAAAACGATATGAAAAAGGCGAGAGGTCTGTGGATATTATATGGAGCAAGCAATGAACATATTTTCTGAAGTGGATCCATTAACAAAAGAAAGCATTAAAATTTAAATAAAAGCAAATGACCTCTACATAAAAATGTATAATGAGAAAAGAAAGCAGCTGTGCAAGGTTCTTTCGACAGCTTTATTATTCAAAGGCCTAAATCATCAACTTCAGCTACACCATCAAATTCAGCATCATAAGCAGCTTCAATATCAACTTCACATTCAGTAACAGTTTTATAGAAAGCTATAGCTTCAGCCAGAGTTGAACCTGCAGCTTTAGCCAGAGTTGAACCTGATGACTTCGTAATATGAGTAAAAACTCGCACAATATTTATTGGCTGTCCTTATGTTTTAGACTTACCACCATTGGTGAGTAGAATCTTTGTTTTACATTCGTAAATATTATTTAAAACATATATGAACAGTAAATAAGTGTTGCTTTCACATTCATATGTAGAGAAATGACGATATGTTTTCACATGTACGACTTAACTGTTCATACGTTGGTGTTCCCAATCGTCTCGCTTTATTTCTTTACCATTAGTGGTTAGCTACTTCCAGTGTTCCATTTATTAACATTAAATAACATAACTTAAAACATTCATACAGGTATTAAATTTTTTTTAAATTAAGTTCACTACAGCTACAACCAGGGTCTTATTTTCTTCAGTTTCTTATGTAGAACCATCGTCACTCACGAAAACAATGCCGTCTTGTCTCCTATTGTGTTTTAATATTCTACGTATTATTAATGAATTGCATTGTTCATTTCACATATATAAAGATTAATTCAATCAAATACATATTCAGTAATAAACAATAATGAATCTTTTGTACATATTCTTAAGATAAATGACTATGTTTCCTTGAGTGCGCAAGTATACGTTGGCGTTCCACTATCAGTCACCTTTTCTTTAATATCAGTGGTTACTTCTACTGTACATTAAATAACATTAATTAAAACATACAAATTTTTTACATTAACTTTTACAACAACCAGGGTCTAATTTTCTTCTGTTTCAGGTGGATAACTGACATTAAGGGTGTAAACACTGACAACAATGCCGTCTCTTATCCTCTTGTGTGTTTTAATATTCTACGCATTATTAACCCTTAAGCCCCGGGTTAGGGTGCTGCTGGCAGTATCCCCCCTGTGGGGTTAAATCAAGGAAGAAAAAAAAAAGGAGGGAAAATAGGCGGACGTTCTGAAACGTCACCCGGGGTGCGCTAGTCGGACGTTCTGGAACGTCACCCGGGGCCTAAGGGTTAATGAATTGTACAGTGGTCCCTCGGTTAACGAACACAATTCGTTCCAGAAGGTCGTTCGTTAACCGAAAATTTCGTTAACCGAATCCATTGTTTATATGGGATATTGGGTAATTGGTTCCAGCTCACAGAAAAGTACATACAAAGTAAAAAAAAAAATGCAGTACAGTACACTTACTTTGAGGTGAGTATGTAGAAGGTTCCTGGTTGATGATGATGATGGGAATTAGAAGTGGGGGTGGAAGAGAAGGGAGAAGAGAAGGAAGTGGGGATGGAGGAGAAATCACCTTTCAGGGGACCCATGCTGGATGCCGTCATTTCACCAATAAAATTTTAAGTTCACTAGGTGTAATTCAAGATTATTTTCTTTAAATCAACACTGCACTGTGCTATATTTTGTCAATATGTTAAATAAATTTCAGAATGACCAATAATTGTACTGCAAAAAAGTAAAGATACTCTGTGTTCAAGAGACCCACAAGCAAGATGCTTCCTCCACTGAACAGAGACACAAACTGAAGCCTTGGTGGGTGAGTGAAGTGGCTGATGGGCTCACCAAAAACTAGTTCCCTGTACTGCAATTTTGTTAAATAAGTGTTAAAATGACTAATAATTTTGTAATATAAAACTTGGAAAAATATTGAATGACACAACCTTCTTGATATTTACTCCAATGGAAACGAATATAAGCCCTAGAACCGATTACTGTATTGGCGGACTAATCTTCCAGCTGGTGAGCAAGCCAAAATATGTTGACACATTTTCGTAAGAATTTCGTTAACCAAATTTTTGTTCGCTAACCGAAATGAAGATTCTTATGGAAGGTAATTCATAAACCGAAATTTCGTTAACAGAGGCGTTCGTTAACCGAGGGACCACTGTATTGTTCATTTCGCATGTACAATATAAAGATTAATTCAATCAAATACATATTCAGTAATAAACAATAATGAATCTTTTTGTACATTTCTTAAAAAGATAAATGACGAGGTACAGGTTGTACCTCTCTAGTCCGGCAACCTCGGGACCTGACCGGTGCCGGACCATGGAAATTGCCAGACCATGGAAATTGCCGGACCATGGAAATTCACCCTTTTCCTGGATAGATAGTGACTTGTGCTTCTGCTTGGAAGCACTAGCACCAATTTCTCTGCATCATGGTCTCTTTGAAGACATATTGAAGGGTTAAATGTCATATAGTAGCTTCTCAAATTTCGCGAGTTTTTAATTCTTAACGTATTTTATTGGAACACACAAAAAAATAAATATATAAAAATTTTGACGGCGGAAACTTGAATTTCGACGGGTTTGAACGGCCCGCCAACGTGCAGACGACGTGCATAATCATGTAAACAGCATCATTTCTCTTATGTACAAAAGATTCATTATTTTTTATTACTGAATGTCTTTTCTGTTGAATTAATGTTTATGTGTGCAAAATGAGCAATACAATTCATTAATAATACGTAGAATATTAAAACACACGAGGAAATGACACAGCATTGTTTTCGTTGATTACAAAACCAGTGACTGACTGGTTCTACATATAAAACTGAAGAAAATAAGACCTTGGTTGTAGCTGTAGTAAAATTAATATGGTTGTTTTAAGAAATTTTATTTAATGTTAATAAATGGAACAATAGAAGTAGCTAACGATAATGGTAAAGAAAAAAGAGAGATCGCGTATGTAAGTGCGCACACGTGAAAACATATCGTCATTACTTTACATAAGAATATGAGAGCAACACTTATTTACTGTTCATATATATTTTAATTAATGTTTCTGAATTTGTTTTTATTGAATTTATGTTTGTGTGTGCAAAATTAACAATACAATTTATTAATAATACGTGGAATATTAGAGGAGACGAGACGGCTGCCGGCATTGTTTATGTTAAAGCTTACAAAACCAGTGACTGATTGGTTCTACATATAAAACTGAAGAAAATAAGACCCTGATTTTAGCTGTAGTAAAATTAATGTAAAAAAATTAATATGGTTGTTTGAAGTACCTGTAATGTTATTTAATGTTAATAAATGGAACAATATAAGTAGCTAACCATTAATGGTAAAAAAAAAGTGAGACTGCGCGTATGTAAGTGCGCACATGTGAAAACATATCGTCATTACTCTACATAAGAATATGAAAGCAACACTTATTTACTGCTCATATATATTGAAGGGTTAAATGTTGTACTCTGTATAGACAAGCAGAGAGAGAGAGCAGCCGAACTGCCGGATGTAAACAAACCTTAATTTCCCGCGGCTTTGTTTTTTTTTTTAAGGGGATTAGCCCACCCGGGCATAGGTCACTGACCCACATTGGGGCCTGAGGGGCAAAAATTTAATACTCCTGTAATAATAATAATAATTCAGAGAAATAAAAAAAAAAAAAAAAAAAAAAAGCTGCCTATCTACCTATTGGACAAACTAAAATCGTTCCGGACCACAGAATGCCGGACTAGAGAGGTACAACCTGTATCCTTAAATGTGCACGTATATGTTGGCGTTCCCAATCCATCTCATTTTTTTTCTTTGCCATTACTGGTTAGCTACTTCTATTACATTAAATAACATTAGTTAAAACATATATATTCATTTTTTTACATTAATTTTACTACAATTACAACCAGGGTCTTATTTTCTTCATTTTTTCGTGTCGAACTACCGGGTAATGTCCCGGACTCCTGGCTGTAAACACAAACGAAAACAATGACGTCCCATCTCCTCTTGTGTGACCATATTATTATTCATTTATATTGTATAAGGTGCATTCAGAAACATTATTTAAAGAATATAGTTTGCAATTTTCATTAATTGTATTGTTTTGGGGGGAAAAAGAGGGTAAAAAGCCACACAAAAAATATTAAAAGTTCACATTTGGGAACGCATCTCATTATTATTGCTTTATTTTAATGGTAATTAATGATTCGCGATAAGACGATTCACCTTACACTGCAATATTGGAGGACACATTAACGTAATTATTCGAGGCTTTACTGTACTCATTTTCTGACTTAATATAAGTTGTGGAATACCTGAGTGTCTGTGTGGTGGTGGGAGGAATCTTTGCTCCCCACCAAACTGGTGAAAAACTTCTCCAAATTTCCCCCCTCCCTTTAGAAAGATGGTTGAGTTGAGAGACTAATATTATTAGATTACCAGTTTTATTGAATATCTGGAACTTGGTCTCACTTATCAAAAGTGAGTGTTCTGGAAACCCAGGGATGTCAACCCAGAGAGTTGTTGACAAAGAACTTGAGTCACTAGATCCACTACATGAGTTATAAAAATATATTTCTAAAATTACAAAGAACTATATATTGACTAAGGATTAGCTCTTCTATATGCTAATATTTCTGGATTTTCTATAATAGTTTTAACAAGAGCAGGTGCAGAACCATATGTACTGTAACGCGTTCCTTGACACATCTCATATTGTGAAGATTCTAAATTACGATCACAATCAACGTGATGGAAGACGTGGACTAAACCCGGGTCAGCAGCACGGAAGATGTGGATCCCACTTCTTAGGACCTAAAGAAAGTGAAGTGAACCGAACTTCATTTAAACACAGTATCTTCTCCAGAAATTATAAGCATATATATTCACCGAAGGTACAATTTGCACATTTCAACTTTCGTGATAAACAAAAAGTTTAAATTACAACATAACCTTCATGTAGTACCTTTTCAAAAAGATCAACATCCTCACCACCCCAGCCAAGAATGGAAGTATCCAAGCCACCTGCTTGAAGCAGTTCAGATTTGTACAAGGCCACAATCCCAAAACCAAAAGCTCGCCAGTAGCCAACATCCTCATTAATCTGATAAAGAGAGAGAGAATTTTGTAAACCTAACAAGGGAGAAGAAAAAAAGTACCAGCAATAAGCATAATTTAGGAAAACTAAATAAATAAGGAAATAGGGGACTGGACTGTGATGTAACTCATTACATTGCTCAGGAATAGATTAATAGAGTAACACCTTTACATATGATTATATAATCACTTGCATAGTTGTCTAAGAACAACAACTACTTTACTCTACCCAGGAGAATGAAACATTACTTACAACATGTAATGTACAGTGAGTGTTAATGGATACACATTAATTCTCTAACTGGGTAGAAAATGGTTTTAAAGATGAGGACCAGATTATTTTAACTTTTAATATTGGGAAATACTTAGGATTCTACCAATAACTAACTAGATGCAAATAACAAAAAGATGAAACTTACCAAGCTGTGGTCATACTGTTCTGCATGACTTCCTTTTCTTGTAAATTTTGGATCAAACTCACTAAACACGATAGGGTAGTAGATCTGTAAAAAGTCACACTGTCATTTGATATGAAAGCTCAAACACACAAACGACCATTAGCTATTTTCCTAAATATTTCCATCTAAATTGTGACTTATGTTTAACACATTCAAAACAGAGATTTACAGAGAAACTCCTTCAAATTTTGGTACAGTAGACTTGGCTATTTTTATACTCTCTCTTATGAAAGACTGCTTCTATTACAGTCATGAAGAGATACTCTCTTACTGAGCAATCTAGGTTTTGAAGACATTAACTTTGTTTTGTATGTTTCATGTGAGAAGATTATGCAACAGGTTGATTACAAGATGCAAAAGACTAGTTCAAGTTGTTTACTATGTAAAATGCCACTAAATATTTTATCATCTGTAAACAAACATTATGAATTGGACAAAATTCATAACTGTCTCGAGTGAGGAGTGCAGATATCCCTTTTTATGGGCGATGATTATTTCAAACATCATCATCAATGTTTTACAGCAATTCTCTACAACTGATGGCAGGTATTAGGTAGAACCAGAATAGGTTACTCTCCCCCCAATTTACCACTGGAAAACCCAAATACTGGCATACTACCTTAAGAGTGCCAGCCCAGAAAATGTTGTAGAGACGAGAGGATGGATACAGTTCTGGTGACCTGGTTGCCATCAGGTATGTTGAAGCAAATTCTTAAGGGTAGATGCCATTCCTATCACCAACCCAAAAGGTGGGAATAGCTGGCAAGACAGTCACAACTACACTTGGTAATCAAAGGTCACCTGCCTTCCTAATTATGTCCCAGCCACTAATGGCAGCGATACTTTGGATCCTGACCCCATAGATTTAGTAAGAAAATAACTAAAAAAAAAAGAACTATTTCCTTTTAAACAAAGAAGGAAAGAAGCAATTTTCCTTTATTGTTAAAGGTTTAGCATATCTCATCCAGACAACCAATATATAGTATAAAATAGGATTGACAAACACTCCTGCATTTTAGTTTTACTAAAACAAAAGAGAATAAGGTCATCTTGTGCACAATAAAAATTCAGTTGAAATACTGGATGGTAACTTTTGATAAAAAAAACTCCGTAAGTTCTTCAGCCGAGGAGAAATACTGTACAACCCCCTATGAACTTACCTGAGATCCTCTTATGGTATGGAGACGAATTCTATCTAAAGTAGAGGAGGTGAAAGTCATGTCCACATCCACGAAGAACATCAAGTCACTGTCTTGACACTGGCCAGCACCCAGTTCCAGGGCTAATGCTCGAGCAAAACTTGTGTTGGCCTAGAATAATGAATAAATTTTTTGTTCAGGTACACAATTAATATTAGCTATTTTGTTACACTTCCCTTTTTTATATGTACAACACTATGTTTACTCAATGATGGCAGAGGAGAATGTCCTATAATTTTTAAGCACACTGAATTCTTCGACAGCACCTACCATATCAGGGTACAAAACATTGTGGCATATAACATTACCTTTTTGAATAATACAATTGTTGTAAAAAGAACAATTCACCCAGACATGTAATCTACAATCACAACAGTTTAAATTTTGTTAGGTTATGTTTTGGGTTTGAAGTTCTTTGGACTGGAGCACATCTCAGATTATAACTTGGGGTTTTCAGTTGAAAATTATTGGGCTAGAATGAATCACACTTTTTAATCTGGAATGTTATGGGAAATTGATTCTCTTTAACTAGAATTCACCTCAAGAACACTATTCCAAGTACAGTACACGTTAAGAGGGCCAAATTTTGTTAAGACTCATTACAAGGTGAAATGATATTTAAATTATTATTACACAGTATGACAATACTCCCGTAATACATAATAATGTGTAAGAGGTTTACTGGGCACCTGCAGAACTGTCATGAGAATTTGAGGATAATCTAACTGAAGGCTGGAGATAAGAGCCTCAACATCCTCTGTCGTGTCATCCTTCCCGGGCGATGGCCGGAAGGACACCACCACCAGCTGCACATTTTCTTCACCTTCAAGACACACACGCCGGAAATCATCTATAAAACAAAATATTATATTTGCCAATCAAGGAAATTTATTTTATAACATTAAAAGTTGTTTTTGTAACAAAAAAAAAATAATTTTACAAAAACCTATTTTTTTCTCAAAAGCCTTAAATTGGTAAGTAAAATGGTGTCTACAAATACCTGTAGTAAGAAAGTAAGTGTGAGAGATTGACACCAACTATTAAGTAACCGTACATGCCATCCTGTGATACCAATTATGTTATAAGATGCCTTACCACTCAAACTATTCATATTATTGACATAAAAGATTATGTTGGAAAGAAAACATGGTTTCAAGCCTTGAAATATATGCATTCTGTTTCAGTCACCAATCTTCCCAAATTTTTTCAAATCTCACTTTTGTTTAGTCCATACCAACCAATCAAGACAGCAACACTACTCTTACACACGGATTGCTGGTACGTGCCACACCCAAGTTGTGTTGATGCCTGCAATCTTCACTTTTCCTCTGTTTAACCCTAAAGGGTTAGGGGTGCTGCTGGCAGTACAGCCCCCCCTCCCTCCCCCTGGATAAATCGATAAAAAATCAACTTAAAAAAATAAAATAAAATAAATAAATAAAATAAAAATTGGTGGGAATAGGTGGACATTCCGGAACGTCACCCGGGGCCTAAGGGTTAACATGACTCACTGGGTAAATTACATAAAGTATATCCTCAAAATACTACAACATAAAGGTTGTATTTAATTTGATTGTCTCTCCATGCAAGATAAAAGATGCTAAAACAACGCGGTAATGGGCTGTGGCTGAACATATGGTTCACGCTACGACTGATGGACTAACCAACTGAGTACCTAGTCATTCTATTGGTTAAGGCTAGATAATTCTTCTGATATAGAAAATGGAAAGTTAAGGGTATGGTGAGTTTGTTGATGGTATGGTGACAACTCATATGGTGGGAAATAATGACTTATTAACACATATATAAAACACTGTACAATAAAAACAAAGTACTACTGACCCCAAGAGTCCCCACTGGGGATACAGTAGTGTATTGTTAGGTTAAAGTACAAACTGCAATAAAGCATAATCATACCGACTGTCTTCACCATCCAATTAGCTGGACTACATAATTATACGAGAGAAACACATGAAGACACATGTATACAAGTACAGTTAAATAGCCGTCATACGGGTTGTACCTAATTAAAAATTATATAAAAGCATTCAAGATAGATACTTTTTACTGAAATTCAGTAAACATTTTCCTACTTAAATCATTGGTACACTGAAATCTGTGAGAATATGATACCTATACATAAACTCAAATTTCTTGTGAAGATTTATACTGTATACAGTACTGTACTATAAATCTGGGATTTAAATCTTCCACTGTAGGCTTGGCCTGGTAAATGTGTTGGTGGTACAATGATAATGTGTATCTCTCTCACTGGACAATTAAGGTCATAAGAAAGTAACAAAGAACAGACCACCTGCCTGAATGACTAGTAAGGTGATAACTGGTGGAATGACTAAAATACAAATACAAATACCAAGAGCTTGGACGTGGCCAGGTAAACATTCCCCTGGTGCTTAAACTGTTTACCACTTGTTATGTCCACTTTTTCAACACACAATTTTGTTCAGTTATCTGGTAAAAATATGTTCAAATTTAGTGTTCCCACAAAATGTGGTAACAACCTGGTAACATGATATCTCTGGTTAGTTATGTCTCAGTGGTTGGAGGAAACAGAAGTGAGTGTTTTGGTGCTGCCTCACACACCATTATTATGAGTTATTACATTTCTACTATGGCATAAACCAAAACTGTAGTGTAATATTGTATAAATAAAAAATAAAAATGGGTAAAAGTAACATTTATCCTTTCTAAGTTTGTCTTGAGGATGAAAGTCTTCACAGTATGACTATCAATAAGTTCTGGGTTATGATCTCCCAAAGTGGGTGGGTTTAGTGGTGATTTAGCTCAAGACTCCAGACCTGGATTCCTCACAGGTCTCTGAATCTACTACATGATTGCAGTGAGACTGTATGTGTAGTGTCTCCTGCCATCACTGACAGGCTCTGCCCAGGTCTGTCTTTTACAGGTCACTGTGAGACTTCATACACCATAATATGCTTTATTCATAAAGTAATCCAAAGGATATAACATAATGTTTCCAATATATATATATAGTTTACAGAACAGTATATTCACTCTACACAGAACCTATATATAATCAATACTTCAAATAAATTTAAATCACTTTTAACAGACAAATAATTGAACTTTGACGTACCCATAAAACGCTGAAAGGTTTTAAACCTCCCAGCCAGAGGTAGAATGAAATGGATTTTCTTTGGATTCAGCTGAGTTCGAGGAGGCCCTGCAGGTGGAACCTAAAATATGAAATTAAAAATTTTAGACTCGACACTAATTTAGTGTAACAACATGAAACTAGAAAGGGAGACTCGCATCTTATATTCTCATAAGAAACAACCTCCAATTGTGCAAGATACTAAAATTAAAGACATCTAATGAACACTGTATCATTTTATGGGTAAGGGGATGAGAGGAGTGACCTGTTATATCTACCACCCTGGAAGAGCCTCTACAGTGGTTATGCTATAAACTATCTTTATTCAGTTGAATCAGGCTTTCTAACCTCTGATCCAGTGGTTGGCTTGAACATTTTTGAGGATTTGGGGTGAGAATTGAAAATTCTTAAGACATACTTACACATTCTGAACCACCTTTAGCCACTTTAGCCATAAAATAAAATAAAAATTCAATCTGCAAAGTTCCTAAATAACCCCACGTAGGAAGGATGATGATGATGAAGGAAAGTGAGAGAATCCAAGTCACTTATTTAATCCATGAGATTTCATAGTTCATTCCTTTATTTCAGATAAGGAGAGCGACAGAGAAGATCAAGAGAACCTAATGCTAACTCAAATAAGAAGAATCTGTACATCAGGTTAAATACTTTAGGACTTTTATGTTACCTATATCCAAAAACCTGTACATTCAGCTCTTCTATTTTAATTTTTTTTTTAATCTTGTCCCAATATTGATGGAAGTGTATTCTAAATCAACATGTGAAGGAGGCAAAAATCTCCTAAATTATGTGCTTCATTATAGTGCAGTTAGTTGAGTAATTTAATGATTTCTTAGCTGTTTTGAGATACCTTTTGCCGAGTGTAGTAAAGCTCCTTTAGCATTATGTTTCTTCGGAACACCAACCCACACACACTAATATATATATAAAAAAAAGAGATTGATCCTGAACTCCCATTTTTAGTGTTTATTAAAACAGTTTTGGAACAGTTTATGTGTATTTTTTGGCCTCTGGAGCCTAACTAATTATTTCCATTTAAATCAATCATACTATAATTGATGATCTGATAATTCACGATGTTTTCTGGTAGCTAACCCGATGAATTATTGCGACTCCACTGTATTAGACACAGTTGTAAATAACAGAACAGTTTTTTAAGCCGAGAATATTCAGGCAGTGTAATTTTAAATATCTTACTTGATAATGGAGCTTTGAGAGGTCACTGAGGCTGCTTTTTACAACGACTTCCACTAATTCTTGGATCCCAGAAGTTGGCTCTAAAGCTTCTTCAAAAACTCCACTTTCATATTCACGAACATGTAGAGGACCAAATGGAACCTGAAGTGTAAAAATTATTTGAATATGTGTTGACTCATTGTAACCTCTATAGTGAATGATGTATCTTTTGTAACATAAGAGGGACTACAATATAAATCTTCTTAATGTTGGAACCTTAAAATTATTTTCCTGTCAACATTCATAAAAAATAATAAAAAGCTGTTTTGGAATACTGTACAGTACAGGTTGTACCTCGCCTAGTCTGGCAACCTGGACCTGACCGGTGCCGGACCATGGAAATTCACCCTTTTCCTGGATAGATAGTGACTTGTGCTATGCTTGGAAGCACTAGCACCACTTTCTCTGCATCATGGTCTCTTTGAAGACATATTGAAGGGTTAAATGTCGTATAGTAGCTTCTCAAATTTCGCGAGTTTTTAATTCTTAACGTATTTTATTGAAACACACAAAAAAATATATAAATAAAAATTTTGACGGCGGAAACTTGAATTTCGACGGGTTTGAACGGCCCGCCAACGTGCAGACGACGTGCATAATCGTGTAAACAGCGTCATTTCTCTTATGTACAAAAGATTCATTTTTGTTTATTTCTGAATGTCTTTTTTATTGAATTAATGTTTATGTGTGCAAAATGAGCAATACAATTCATTAATAGTACGTAGAATATTAGAACACACGAGGAAATGACCCAGCATTGTTTTCGTTGATTACAAAACCAGTGACTGACTGGTTCTACATATAAAACTGAAGAAAATAAGACCTTGGCTGTAGCTGTAGTAAAATCAATATGGTTGTTTTAAGTAAAGTTATTTAATGTTAATAAATGGAACAATAGAAGTAGCTAACGATAATGGTAAAGAAAAAAGAGAGATCGCGTATGTAAGTGCGCATGAGCACGCGTGAAAACATATCGTCATTACTTTACATAAGAATATGAAAGCAACACTTATTTGCTGTTCATATATATTTTAATTAATGTTTCTGAATTTGTTTTTATTGAATTAATGTTTGCGTGTGCAAAATTAACAATATAATTTATTAATAATACGTGGAATATTAGAGGAGACGAGACGGCTGCCGGCATTGTTTATGTTAAAGCTTACAAAACCAGTGACTGATTGGTTCTACATATAAAACTGAAGAAAATAAGACCCTGATTTTAGCTGTAGTAAAATTAATGTAAAAAAATTAATATGGTTGTTTGAAGTACCTGTAATGTTATTTAATGTTAATAAATGGAACAATATAAGTAGCTAACCATTAATGGTAAAAAAAAAAGTGAGACTGCGCGTATGTAAGTGCACACATGTGAAAACATATTGTCATTACTCTACATAAGAATATGAAAGCAACACTTATTTACTGCTCATATATATTGAAGGGTTAAATGTTGTACTCTGTATAGACAAGCAGAGAGAGAGAGAGAGCAGCCGAACTGCCGGATGTAAACAAACCTTAATTTCCCGTGGCTTTTTTTTTTTTTAAAGGGATTAGCCCACCCGGGCATAGGTCACTGACCCACATTGGGGCCTGAGGGGCAAAAATTTAATACTCCTGTAATAATAATAATAATTCAGATAAAAAAAAAAAAAAAAAAAAATGCCTATCTACCAATTGGACAAACTAAAATCGTTCCGGACCACGGGAGTTTCCGGACCACAGAATGCTGGACTAGAGAGGTACAACCTGTATAAGGAATTCCTCGTCACAAATAAATTCTTTTCCATACATGGGCTGAGGCTTCATTCAAGGTAAAGTTGATGCTAATATTTAGTGAGGAGGGAAGTTGCCCCTTATACAATAACACCAGCATATAAGGTGAAAAAATTGGCTATGTAAATTACCAAAAATCTCCACAATATTTACTGAACCTATCACTAGAGCTTCAGCCAGAGAAGTGATCACTGTGTAAAGCTCGCTGCAACTGTTGGGAGAGTGTAACAAAAAGGTGTTAACTCATAAGGATATATTGCCCAAATCAAGGAACACAGCCCATATGTGACTCTTCACTTCACTGTTTTGGTTATGTTTGATTTTCTTTTTATTTTTCAGGGTTCAAAATGTGAATATCATGTACTGTCTGTCTTGAACTCAGGTTAAGTGAGACAAATGTGTAGTACTGTACAAGAATGGCCAAAAACTATGGTTGCTTCAAGCCTGTTAATCTGTGTGTAGTATAATAGTTTACTGTACCTGGTCCATTTATCACAAGAAAGCTAGTTTACTATGGTATTAATTTCCCCCATAAGGATGTCCTGCAAGGCTGTGTGACGGATGAATGTGAACTTGATGATATACCTTGCGTTCAGGTGTTTAAAATCTATGACTTAAGAAGCAGCCAGTAGATGATCTCTCATCAAATAAACAAATATTTGACACATGACAGATGATTCTGGAAAAAAGCATAATAAGAAGTTTACAAATGGCACAAAGACATCAATACAGTACAACATAAACTTACCTGCAGGTAAGCGTGCCTACGGACTGGCACTGTCATCTTTTTGCCGCGGTATTTCTTGTAGAGGAGCAACATATCCAGGATGTACTCCAAGGCCAGGGTTGGGTGCCATCTAATATATCCATACAACACCTCTTTAAAGTCTATCACACGTCCTCGTTCTTTTGATACTCTGAGAGTGAGAGCAATAAGAGAGAACTACAGTATACCATGTTTATACACACAAGACAAGTGGGTATTCTATGGACTATCTGTCTATCAGTACACATTATTTCCAAGATAAAATATGGAGGATTAGTCAAGGAAATGTAATGTTTATACACACTGTTTTGAACTATACAGAGGGGGTAGGTCAAATTGATGAACAATTTCCCTTAAAAGGTGTATAATTTACATGCAGTTTTCAGTACAGTAAATCCACACCTAAGAATGTGAGGTTGGTCTTGAAATGTAATTTTATAATGAAAATTGGCAAAACAACCTATGTATTGCATCAAAGATATTGCAGGTTTGACCTCAGTGTTACCAGAAACCCTCCACTTTTGTGACTGGGTCGTGTTCCAGGAATCTAATATACCGGTAGGTAGAAAACTAGAGACATGATAAATAAATAAATATGTGCATATTTTCTCTATGACTGGCTAGGAAAATATTTATGCACTTTAAATTTATTTTCTATCACCTAAACCATAATCAAGTGGAATTTGTTTCTAATTATAACAATACTATAACTAAATAATTTTTTTAATAAAGTACAGTATTGATAATATTTAAAAATAAACACAAAAATGTATACTACCTGTAATACTATCATAAACTTATTGTCTACAATATATTAAATTATTTTGGGTTAAATTTGTAACTGAAAGGCTGTAAAAGAACATCTAGTAGCTCTAAAATGTTTACCTGTTTATTATTTCCATGACATCACGTATTACATCGTTGAGTCCCTCTGCCATGCCAGACGTTGGTTTGTGACGAGGGTTGTTGTTCCCTGGCTGGTACGCCGCTCTGCTCAGAAAGTCCCAGTACAAAACTTCCTCCTCAGTACTTGCCATCCACTTTTGTAAGGTCACATCTGTGCCTAATCAAAAACAATATGTAAGTAAAGTGCACTGCAGTGACTCCTCAGTAAGACTCATCTCTCACAACTTCCCTCATGAGCGCACAAAATATTACATCAGAACTTAATTATAGCACCTCTCATATCTTTGCCATTGTGGTTGCCTGTTGAGTGATAATTCTCATATGTTTACAATATGTGTGTTATTTTTTAGGTAAATCAGGTGATGGTAATGGCTTCCTATATGTAATAAAATGTAATGATCAATGGCTATTATGTATAATCATTCAATGTCACCCTGTTGACTAAAACGACAGAGAACACCTCTTAACTGTTCATCTGGTGAGAGGAGTAGTAGAACTTACACACTGTGTGAGAAGTAACTGAAATATGAGGTTGATACAAAAGATGGAATGCTAACACCAAATGGCTATCTCTTGGTTGTACTGCGCTGTATGATGTTGAAGAATACAGGTACAGTACTGTATTCTAATTATCACATCTATTTGAATTTTAGATCCCAACCACAAGTTGGGGCTCTGAGTGTGGGATTATGATCAAGAAACTTGCTGGCTATACTGTACAAACTTCCTTGATCCCAACAGAGTTCTATAAAGCAAATGTGGGGATATACCCTGCTGTTGAACCAAGAATTTTTTTTTCCATTAGAAATTCTCATGAACCAGCCAGTTTCCACTGTCTTGGGTCATCAGTTATGATCCTATTAGGTTTAGTATATAAATTATTTCTTGCACAGTTAGCAAAATTAGTACTATATCTAGACCCTATGGTCTAGACTCCTAGAGGAATGGAAAGAGCAATAGCTTCAGATGTATCGACAGTATCGGATAGGTTGGTGCCTACGACCGTAAAAAATCCTTTTTCTTACAATGTTCTGTGATAATAGTAAAAATAAATAAAAATACTGCAAATAATATTTTGAATGATATTAAGCATTCATGTGTAGTGTATGAATAAATATCAACAGGGCAAGATAATTGTTGTGAAACCAGAGAAGTTGCCATTTCATAAATAGTGTGTATGAGAGACACCCTATAGAAATTACAAAGGTTGACTACAATAGATTGTGAATATATATGTTATGTTTGCACTTTGTTTTAAATAGATATAATTAGGATGTAAATACCTGTACTGTATTTTGCCTGAGGGAAATAAAAGTTAAATGCACATGTATTCTCCATTACTAAGAGGATGACAATGAAGCAGTATTGGTAGTCTAAGAGTTATAAGATACGGATATGAAGTCAAGGTTTTATTTATTTAATCAAACAAGACTTGGTAGCTGCAGCTATATGATTCATCTACAAGCAGCCACACAGGTTGGAAGGCAGAAACATCAAAGCCTATTTTCATGGACAAAGAGTACTGTAGTTATGCTGATGCAAACCTGGATTGGTGAAAGATGTGTGATGATAATGGTTTAAAATAGACAGTTTTCTGGGGAAAACATAGCAACAAAATTACCCAATTGATCAAGGAAGATCCCAGATGATGGCTCATCAAGATGGGGCAACGGGAGTCCTGCCTCTTCACTTGTTTTCGCCAATTCACGAATAAGGTGCACCAACTCTCCTTCACTTGATCGTATATTTAAACCCTGTTATGTGGAGTAAAGCTTCAAGTTATTTGACTGGATAGCTTAGATAATAATCTGCTGATAATAAGAAGGACAAGGTGTTAGGACAAAAGATATACAGGTACTGATCCTGAAATCTCATCCTGTACAGTACAGTACAGGTTATTAACTCAACCAAGTCCATGATGTTCACCCCATCATGTTAGTGCTGGGAGACTACAAAAGTATCTTATGTTTATAACACATACGGTAGATGGACTCCAATGGTGAACATAAATAGGTTTCAGGATGATAAATTTGTTGTTATTCAAGATAAACAGATCACTAGATTATGATGGTTTCCCCTTCCAGTCTTTCCTCTGCCAGACTTTAGAAATTTAAATCTCACTCCCAAACTACAAAATGTGTAGCTATTGTATTGAAGGTTACTGAAACTACTTACTGGTAAACTACTGTACTGTTAGTCAGTCTGGTTGCCAAGGGAGAGCAACAAAAGTGAGAACCATATGACACAAAAAAAGAAAAAAAGAAAAAAAAGATGGTGAAATGTGAGGCAGAACAGATAATTGTAGGGTAAGCATCACAATTCAGGGATAGTTTTAACTTTGGAAATTCTCTTCTTTTTAGACTCTTAGAGTCCATCTTTGTGGCCGAAAGACGAGCCCCTTTTGTCGTCCTTTAACTATGGTCAAACTATGGGATATTCACGATGTAATTACTGGGGTTAAAAAATCACAGAACAATTTTCATAAGACCATTGTGAGTTTCTTCTCAAACACTTTTGTTCATGTTATGGTGACTCTCCAGCCACCATTATAGAATACAGGGCAGCTACTGAAACAAGCTACTATATAACTACTGTACAATAATAGTAAAGGGAGCCCTAACCAGTGTATAAGATAGAGTGCAGATCACCTCTATTATATGATACACTTATACATTATTGAACAATCAGGAGACAACAATAGCATATAAAGTACTGTACTGTAAATGACAACTTGATGCCTATAAAAGTGGGCTAATATAAGCACTGCTACTGTATATCAGACACGCTGTACAGTCACTGACCTGAATGTAAGAATGGAGACGATAAAGATGCGTGTGATTTTTTATTGGATGGAGAGTAATGGCGCGATGAACCTCCCGTTGTTTAAGAGGTCCTGTGAAGGCTTCCGTGCCACTGCTGTTGTGGTACAAAATACTCTGCATCTGAAAGTAATAATAACCAACTTGTAGGGAAGAATTAGCAATGGGGAAACAAGTCAACCCCACAAAGTAGACTAAACAATTACAGTATATTGCTCCTAAATTCTCTAAGTTTTTCCTACCCAGAGCATCAGCTGACTTAAACCGTGGGTAAGGATGGAGCTTATGTTGTTGGTGGGATCAGGAGCTGGTGAACCTGGGGAGCTAGGGTGATGGGTGACTGTTGTATGAAGGTCTATTGTGGCTGAAGGTTATTTTCAGATAGTGGTCACATGGAGCACGCTTTTGATGTCACGACAAAAACATAATGTCCGATTCCTCTTTCAACATTACAAATACAGGTATAACACATTATTTTTGGACAACAGTGTCACACCTTCCAACCTCTAAGGATATCCCAGGGAGGTGGGTGGAATCCTGGCCACTCCTTGGCTCTGTTATAACACGAGTTTTCAGGACCAAATACCCATTATAATTATCAAGGAAGTTTTAATTGGCCCAAGAGGATCCCCAGCGCAGCCTCATCATCAATAACTATACTGTGTGTAATATGCTTCCTGAAACACCACTAACAAATACATTGGAAGCATCAATGAGGTTCCTGGCTTGCTGGGACACACCCTCCCTTTCCTACACACAAACACTTCCCCCTCCCACACACAAACATACCCACTTCCTCCCACACACAAACACCCCCCCACCCCCTCATATACAAACATCATCCTAATACTGTAAACACCAAGCAACACGGGTTAGCTCGGGATTTTTGCATGTTTATATATTATAAATACTGTCCTTATATAATCTCTCTCTCACTCTCTCTCACTCACTCACTCACTCACTCACTCACGCACTCACTCACTCACCCACCCTCACTCACTCACCCTCACTCACTCACCCTCACTCACTCTCATTCACTCACTCACTTTCATTCACTCACTCACTCTCACTCACTCATTCACTCTCACTCACTCACTCTTTCTCACGCACTCATTCATTCTCACTCACTCATTCACTCTCACTCACTCATTCACTCTCACGCACTCACTCACTCTCACTCACTCATTCACTCTCACTCACTCATTCACTCTCACTCACTCACTCACTCATTCACTCTCACTCACTCACTCTTTCTCACGCACTCATTCACTCTCACGCACTCATTCACTCTCTCTCACTCACTCACTCACTCATTCACTCTCACTCACTCATTCACTCTCACTCACTCACTCACTCTCACTCACTCATTCACTCTCACTCACTCACTCTTTCTCACGCACTCATTCACTCTCACTTACTCACTCTCTCAAAGTAACACCTGGATAACAACACCATCTCTCTCTCTCTCTCTCTGCTCAAAACAAAGGGCTGAGATAGTGTGTGTACGTTCCTTATGTTATGTGTGACTCAGTGTGTGTGGGGGGGGAGGGCAAGGAGAGAAGAGGCGTGTGTGTGACCAGCCAGTTCACTCGTGACTCAACCTAGGACAATGCTGACCTGACCTGACCTGACCTGCCGCCTATCCTGTGATGACCTTACAGGCTATTGCCATGATGGATGGATGACCACTAAACAGACAGACAGATACCTCTAGTGTAACCAATTAAAACAGATGTAGAAGTGAACATGCTCAACTGCAGTGCCTCCTTGTGTAGTGAAAGTCAAGGGTACAGTCTCCACACTGTTCGTAAGTCCAAATTAGGTAAGATGGCTCCCACATTCACAAAAGAGGTTAAGGTCGAATGATCTTAAGAGTTATATTGGTATTATGAGTATTCCTCTATGATTTATACCCTTTTTAATTACGTCATTTACTACCCACTTTTTCTCGTGTGTTTATTACAAGAAGCTGTGTTTGTTGTTATGCAGACGGGAGGATGACTGGGCGGGGTCGTGGAGGAGCATTAATTGTTAAAAAGCGTGAATGAACATTTTGTGCTGGGAAGAATGGAGTAATTTTGAAGTTCATCAAATTGAAAAGATCCAGAAATCATACATCCTTGACGCTGCATAACATTCACTAAGAACCAGTTTACTCCTTTCTGTCACTTTCTAACACCTGCCAGTACAGTATATCATGTCTCACTCTCCCTACATATATCACCCAGTACAGTATATCATGCCTCACTCTCCCTATTAATAATAATGTTAAGTATTTCAAGAGACCAATAAATAAGCACATACAGTACAAGGTTTACAGAACTACTGTTAACACAACCAGTGGGGCGTCTTCACATGGCCACACCACAGTTTGATGATATGATAGATTTTCCATGGTCAAGAATCCTAATTCAGACTTGAAGATCATGTTTCCAGAGGGCCATATATAAAGCATATTTGACACCCACACTTTTTCAAAGGTCTTGGCATATAGAACAAGAAAATAATGGGTAACACCGTACATAAATAATGGACACAAACCCCCCCCCCCAACCGCACTTTGACACAGTGAAGACAAAGTGACACACACACACACACACTGATTACGTAGAATGCCCCTCACTATCTCATAAGAACATAAGGAGTCTGCAATAGGCCGGTTGGCCTGTGCATGGCAGCTCCTGTCGAGAGTTACTACCACTATCCATCATCCATGAATCTATCCAGCCTCCTTTTGAAACTTTCCAGCGTTCCAGCACTTACCACAAAGTTGCTAAGCTTGCTCCACTCGTCCACCACCCTATTTGTGAACCAGTTCCTTCCTATCTCCCTCCTAAACCTAAACTTATCCAACTTGAATCCGTTGCTCCGAGTCCTATCCTGCTCGGATATTATAAGAACTTTATCTATATCCCTTTATTGATTCCTTTCACCCACTTAAATACTTCTATCATATCTCCCCGCACTCTTCGTCTTTCTAGGGAATGCAAGTTAAGTTTCTTTAACCTATCCTGATATGGAAGGTTTCTAAGTCCCGGAATCATTTTCGTCATTCTTCGCTGCACCAACTCTAGTGAACTGATATCCATTCTATAATAGGGGCACCAGAACTGAACCGCATAATCGAGGTGCGGCCTGACTAGCGCAAGATATAGTTGCAATAAGACCTCTGCACTCTTATTACTTACACTTCTAGATATAAAACCCAATACTCTGTTTGCCTTATTTCGAACATTAACGCACTGTTTTCTAGGCCGTAGGTCCGGGCTTACAAGTACCCCTAGGTCTCTTTCACAAGTCGACTTCTCTAGGTTGATGTTATTAAGGCTGTATACATTGACAGTATTTGTTCTTCCAATATTAAGTACGCTGCACTTGCTGGTGTTGAATTTCATTTGCCATTTTTCAGACCACCCCTGCAGTTTATTTAGATCCTCCTGTAATGCATTTGCATCCTGCCCTGAATTAATCTGCCGCCCTATTTTCGTGTCATCTGCAAACTTGCTTATGTCACTGCTGATCCCAGTATCTAGATCGTTTATGTAGATTATGAACAAGAGTGGGCCTAGTACTGACCCCTGGAGAACCCCACTGGTTACACAGCCCCACTCAGATTTATAACCATCTACGCTGACCCTCTGCGTTCTATCGGTGAGCCATGATTTTATCCAATTTAAAACTTTCCCCTCGATACCATGAGCCTTAATTTTTCTCAGAAGCCTCTGATGCGGTACTCTGTCAAATGCTTTGCTAAAGTCTAAGTAAATAACATCGTAATTTTCGTCATTATCTACTACCTCGAAGACTTTCCTAAAAAACGTCAGCAGATTTGTTAAGACAAGATTTTCCCTATATAAACCCATGTTGAGAGTCGTAGATTAATTTGGTTTTCTCTAGATGCGATCGGATGCTATCTGCTATAATTGATTCAAGAAATTTCCCCACTACTGACGTCAAACTGATCGGCCGGTAATTTGACGCTGATGCTCTGTCTCCCTTTTTGAATATGGGTACTACATTTGCCTGTTTCCACAATTCTGGCAAAACTCCCATGTCTAATGATTTTGTAAATAAATATACGAGGGGTCCGCTATCTCCCTGCACCCTTACTCTCACGGAGGGTGTGTGGGTTGACGGGGAAAAAACACAACCTAAATACTGTAGTGATATCATAGCTGAATTGAGTGTCAGGCTGGGCGTACGCTTGGCAGCTCAGCAGAATCAGGAGGGGATGATGAAGAAGAAGGAGAACACAGTGCCAAGATATTAGAAAAAACATATAGAACTGGGCGTACGCTTGGCAGCTCAGCAGAATCAGGAGGGGATGATGAAGAAGAAGGAGAACACAGTGCCAAGATATTAGAAAAAACATATAGAACGTCGAAAAAAACAAAAACAATCTACTATCACACACCAATTTAACACCCAGCCACTGCCACGACACTCACTGCTGGGTCATGTTACACAAGCACGACTAAACAAACTCTAGCTGGCAGGGGTCAAGTGTTGGCTCCTATAACCTCACACTGCAACTACCACGTGGCTCACACCTCACCAGCCTTGACCTGACCTCTTTATACCATCTTACTGTTTATTGTTAGTTATTTGAGCAACTTAGCCAACTACATCCACATGCCCCACATCACACTGGACTATCCTACATAACCTACCACATGACCCACATCACACTGGACCACCCTACATAACCTACCACATGACCCACATCACACTGGACCACCCTACATAACCTACCACATGACCCGCATCACACTGGACTATCCTACATAACCTACCACATGACCCACATCACGCTGGACCACCCTACATAACCTACCACATGACCCACATCACCCTACATAACCTACCAGGCTGCTGACCACAGTGTCCTCAATAGCTGGCTGCTTAAGGGACTAAGTTTAACGATGTTTTGTGAGCGAGTGAAGGAGCCCGTGCGTGTCCCACATGTGGCCTGGTGGTGATGGGAGGACAAGAGAGAGAGAGAGAGAGAGAGAGAGAGAGAGAGAGAGAGAGAGAGAGAGAGAGAGAGAGAGAGAGAGAGAGAGAGAGAGAGAGAGAGAGAGAGAGAGAGAGAGAGAGAGAGAGAGAGAGAGAGAGAGAGAGAG